GAACGCGTATTATTGTAAACTTTGGTATGACCTACAGGATGTTGAAACAAGAAGTGAGATTATTTGTTTTAGTTACTAAATTAAATGCTACTATCGTTAGTGTAGAAATGAAAATTCTTAAAAATAAATTTCAATAACTAAAAAATGGTCACGAAGAACTATTATGATAATTGGATATTTTCTTATGAAAATGGAAAAGATAGCGTTGATTTATTTAAAGTTTAGTAGTTATAAAATAAAAATAATTAAAATGTGTTCTTATGTGATATCTGTTGGAAGTAGCTATCTACTTCATCTATCTACTAATTAATGATTAATAAACACATGCGTTTTTCTATAAATGTTGCATTTTTTTTAATTATTGTCAAAAAACAAAGATTGTACAGGGTTTTCACTAGTTTTCATAGAACTAAGCCTGCTGGTATCGTACTAAATATTTGTGAATATCCTGTATTTGTAACTAAATACATATGTATGTATATAGGGCTTTGAAGAAATATGAATAATTTTAGGTAAAGTATTTTCAAAAGTAGGTGGTAATTATCAGATTTAGACATATCAAATATATACCGGGTGGTGCATCTTGGTTGGAAACATAGGAAATCCAATTTTGAACTGTCCAAATATTGGCTCCCCTATTAAGTCGTAAAAAAATAGGTTTTTAAAGGTTTGCATATGCTGAATACACATTTTTGCCAAATTTGAACAATTTTGGACTAGCCGATTTTAAGTGATTTAAAAAAAACTGCATCTATTTTTAAATTAAAAAATGCAAAATCTGGCAGTTAAACCGTTAATCCAAGTCGCGAAACTATGATGGCATACTTAATTTTTATTTATTTAGAAAAGAAAATAGTGACTGGCGTTACTTAATTTTCTGTTTCTAATACTTAGTAAAATTATGCTATTTGACTTATTACATTTAAGATTTTTTGTAGGAAAAATAGTTAAAATTGCATTATTTTGACACTGGTTCTGTCTATGATATATACGTTATTTTTTTAGACTTCTGCTTAGCGCACTAACATATGAGTCGTGATTTGTTAAATGGGTATCGGTTAGGTTAGGTTGCTGGGGTTTGGGGTACTGTTTGACCCCTCACTCGGATGCCTTGGACCCATTGCGATACCGCTGTTATAATTGTACCAAACCTTCCTCTCATTCTTTCTGTGCGTTAAAGTACTTCCAGCTCTTAGCAACGTTTCGGATGTCGCTGATGTTGGCTTCTGCTGCTTCTTCTAGTCTCTCTAAAAAACTGCCCTAAAGTTTTAAAGCATCGCGTCGGTTTTCCAGTGCCGGAAATTGGTACAGCAGCTGCTCTATAGTTTCTTCTCCCTCTTCCGCATTCTCTGCAGTAATCGTCGTTGAAAATCTGCCATCTCACGAAGTTTACCTCCGTGGGGCAGTTTCCAGTGATGATTCCTACAATTATGCGTACTAGGTTCTTTTTGTGCTCTAGTAGTTCTTTTGTCTTTTTGCCATCTTCCACTGTTGCCACGTCTCTTGCTGGATAGCGTCTCCACGTCTCTTGCTGGATGATGCAGCCTCTTTCTCGGCAGTCCATCACAGTTTTTGATCTTACTATCAATATCAATAATATTTTTGATCTTACAATACAATATTATACTTATGCTTGTTAAAGCGCCCAATCTGAGTATATCACGATATCCCCTATTGGTTTATTAGCGATTTTCTCTTGTATACAACTGGCCGCTCCCATTATAGCGTAAACCTCTGCTTGTAGAACCTTACAGACATCCGATGATAGCCTTAGAGATCGTCGGATGTTTAGTTCCTCTGAGAAAATGCCTATATCTGTGCCTCCTGAAATCACGAAAGCATTTGTGTAGACTGCTATCTCTTGAGTATTCATTATTAGGTTGTTTTTCCACTTCTCAAAATTACATTTGGTGAGCATATAGTCCGTTTCCTGGTCTAAGAGATGTGGACTAGTGTTCCTGGTGATTTTCTCTATCATTGGCAATAACCTCGAGTGACGGGAGTTGGTTTTTGTTCCACAGATTGGATTCCCTTAATCTTAGGGCACCGTTAATGACCAGATCCTTCACGAGTCAGCCGATTGATTGCAAGTCTAGAATTCCTTGCTTTGTTGTTTCTTGCTCCACTTGTACCTAGAGTTGCTAATCGCTGTACTTTTCTGAGGCATTTTGGATTAGTCTCTTTAAGTACCGCTTCCCACAATACTAGTGCTTCATAGGTGAAGATTGATCTAACTACAGCAGTGTACATCCAGTGTATGGGTAGCAGTTAGAAAACATAAGTTTTGAGAAAAGTCAATTGGCATCACTCATTGACTGATGCCTTTATAGAGAACTCGAGAATATTTTGCGCGCTATAATAACATTGCGAATGCCAGGACAGATGCCCTTTTAATAAGAAATTCTGGTATGATTAATGTAGGATTGAAAAATCACCAATCACGATTCATATTGCATTAAGTTTTTTATTATATTACGTTATTTTGACGTTATTTTTGATATGTTATTTTCCCTATTTTGCTATTCTGCAATAAAAAATAAAATAATTATAAATTATACATCTAGTGCGTATTTACATATTGTAATGAATATTAAAATTTAACGAACCAATTAATCTGTGTGTGCTGATAACAAGATTACCGCCAATCTTTTTAGCAGTGACTCAAAAAATAAATATTTGATCAATATTTATATTTAAACAAAAAAATTTGAAGTACAAAGTGACTAACAAAGTTCTTATCGATGATAATTAGAGTTCCAGCAGATAAAAATAACAACAATAATTCTACATTAAAGTTTGTCAAGGTAATCTAAAACCATCTGTAGATTTCTGGTACATCAGTTCATTATAGATACATATATTTGAAAGCAAAAATATGATAATTGTTATAGTTAGGAATTTATGGTTTTAAAAATGTTAATAATTAACATAGTGCCAAAATAGACAGCCCCCTATGGGTACATATCAAAATATTGTTTTTCAAAACACTATTTTTTCTTTAGAATGCAGCTTTGCGTTAGATATAGTTCCTGCTTTTTTAGTATTTGTAAATAACGAAGAAATAGCTCTGTTTCAACTCATGTCCTTTTTCACTCTCAAATAATTATATTAGTTATAATTAAAATTCTCATAAATGCTGAAAATAACTTATTTAAAACAACATTTATTTCAGAAAAAAAAATCATATATGTTTAGGGATTTTTTGTATGCTATGTATAATTAATTTAAATAATGATTGTTTTTGTTACAGTTTATTCCCGACCAGCTGATCATTTTTCCTTGTCTTTGAGTAGAAGTTTACCTGCTGCGCTTGTTCTTGTATATATGTTACGGTTAAAGTCCGATGTTCGGTTAATGTTTGGGTTTGGCTTTGTTTTTGGTTGTTTTGTTTTGTGTTTTTTTCGAGACTAACCAGGTAATGTCGATATTAACCGAATATCGGACCTTAACCGTAACATATACCGCATGATCGAATAAAAACGGCGTCAGCGATGGCTATGAAATTAAGATCGCTGTCATTTTATATGTAAATTTATATGGGAAATGTCATCAATTGTCATTTCCCAGCCAACTGGACGCCGTTTTTTTCGATCATACGGTATTAGAATTTTTTTTTAGTAAAATAAATAGATTGGTATAGTAGCAGTTTACCTGCTGCGCCTGTTCTTGTATATATGTTACGGTTAAAGTCCGATGTCCGGTTAATGTTTGGGTTTGGCTTTGTTTTTGGTTGTTTTGTTTTGTGTTTTTCTCGAGACTAACCGGGTAATGTCGATATTAACCGAATATCGGACCTTAACCGTAACATATACCGCATGATCGAATAAAAACGGCGTCAGCGATGGCTATGAAATTAAGATCGCTGTCATTTTATATGTAAATTTATATGGGAAATGTCATCGATCGTCATTTCCCAGCCAACTGGACGCATTCGATCATACGGTACATGACCGGAGTCTTGTACTTTTAGATAGAGATAGTCTTGATACTTTTTTTTAAACGAAGGTTCAATGGAGCTTAGAATCGTGTTAGAATCACAACCTGTTCATCAGCAGCCAGACTTACAACGAGCATTTACATGAAATTATATTTTTGGGAAACTATGAACCGTCTGACCTTATTTATATCCTTCTTATGTATACACAGAGTGAATCTTAAGTGAGAGAAAATATTTCCAGGGCTGGTAGACCTCGATAAAAGAAACATATTTTCTCTTTGCCGTTTTTGAAGTAAGTCCAAAATAACCGAGTTATTTTACTATGAAAATGTCCAAAAGAAATGTTTTTTGCTTAAATTTTGAGAACCACTGGATCTTTTCTGGTTTTTTTTCTTGTAAATTTAATCCATTATCTATGTTATCATATTATCCAGAAATTATGTTTTTTAAAAAGTTGCAATTTTTTCTTGTTTCTGGGGTCGAAATATACTACCCATAAAATATTTGCACTTATTTAACACTCACCCTGTATATTTCCTTTTGATAAAACTTGTATAAGAGACATATTAGTTGAATTAATTGGAAGAAAATTTATTTGCACCTTGCTTACAAAAGAACGGATTACTTCTTCACATATGTATGTGGTTCAAATACAAATATAATAAAAAAAATCTGGAGAAAGTCAAATATACCATTCTATAAAAAAATAATCGAAATTAGCTAAGTTAATAAATTATATTTAACGTTAATTAACTTTAGCCAAATAAATAACTTATTTGCCATTTTTGGGATATTTTTTGCGCCATATAATTCTGGAAAAAATGGAATATATGAACAGTTATACAAATCTTCAAAGTAAACCAGTATAAAAGCAGGGTACTGGTAAATGAAATTACAAAAACCTTCAATTCTTTTTTCTGTTTTTTGGACTTTAAGAAGACCTGTTTCATTCATGCATAATTTCGTAGCACAACCTTTTATTTTTGCTTCATAATAAAAAGCACCAAACAACAAAACATCACCGATTTTTGGTGACGTGTTTGACTAAAGTTCTGATTATTACCTTTGAATATAACTCGACGGTTGTCATGATTCCTTCCCTCAGAAAAATCCCTTTTTTTCAAAACACTCGCACTTTTTTTCACTCACAATTTCTAGTAAAATTTTACCTTTACGTACGGCTCGACAACAACTGAAACGTCGATTCGTTTCTTATCTTATCACATTTTTAGCGAAAAAATCAGGGAGAACGAAAAAAACCGAAGTGGATGAATGTCGTTTTAAAAAACACGGCGAGTTCAGGCTCACGGAGTGCGCGCTGCCGATGCTCAGAACTGCGGCTCGCGGGTTCGGATCGCAGCAGGATTGATTTGATTGCGGTCGATGTTGCCAAGTCTACATTTCGTATTTCCTAAGTCAATTTAATGTACCCTTTAAATGTTTAACTAGTTGTTTACTTTTCTGTTGAAAAGATGAGCAAATGCGGCAAGAATCTGATGTCAAGTCAAGCACAGACGTACCGTCTTTTTTTCGAAGAAACTCACAGTACTCTCGACCCCTTACTTCGATGTTGATAAAGCAAGAATTTTAATTTTTAGTCATTAAGACATAAAATAACGGCCATACAGGGTGAATTTTAAATAAGTGCCAATATTTTCAGGGCTGGGGATCGATAAAAGAAACATATTTTCTCTTCTAAGTCTATATTCCAAAAAAAAATGATTTTTTACTTAAATTTTGGGAACTACTAGATCTTTTCTGGATTTTCTTTCTTTCAAATTAATCTACTATCTGTGTTGCCATATTATGAAGATATTATGGTTTTTAGTTAGAACTTAAAAAAATTCGAAATTTTCAAATTTCCTTTTTCGCGAAAACAACTCATGATTTTTTACTTAAATTTTGAGAACCACTAGATCTTTTCTGGATTTTCTTTCTTGTAAAATTAATCTACTATCTGTGTTCCATATTATGAAGATATTATGGTTTTTAGTTAGAACTTAAAAAATTCCAATTTTTTTTTTAAAAAATTCGAAATTTTCAAAATTCTTTTTTTTGCGAAAAAACTCATAGGCGTGTTTCGGGGGTCGAAATATAATACCCCTAAAATATTTGCATATCTGGTAATTACACTTTATAGTTTATGAAATACCTATACTGATATCTCTAGTTAGATTTCTTTAATTTTGACAGTAACTCACTGATCTGCCAAAATTCTAAGGTATTTCGAGAAGTCTCAGGGATCCCAACAGAATCATAAAATGTATAAAATGCAACGCAGCTTTCAACATTAGCAATCGTTACATATGGTTTGTATATCTTGAGTACCTTCGATTTGTACGGGGTGTAAAATTTTGGTTGAAATCATACAGTATCTCCGTTATTAGTGAAGATAGAGAGGTTCGGTTGCACCAACCTGCCCCACTTTTTTGTCAACACGGAAGGTACTGTATACAAAATTTTCATTTTTTTTCGCCCTATTCGTTTCTGAGCTGCAGGCCCTTTTTGAAATTTTTGCAATTTTGGACCCCCTGTATCTCTGTTAATATGAATGGTATTGAGAAGCTGAAAACTGTTTATTGTTGAACTTTTTACGTAGAATACAGTGACGTAGCCTGTTATTCTATGAAATTAATATTTTTGAAAATATGAACTAAAGTTATGTTTTCTTAAATGGAACACCCTATATATTTATAAATTATATGATCTGGTTTGCTAGAAGCTTCTCAAAAATATGTATTACTCTATATTATTTATTTACACTATTTAGATCAATATTTAAAAGTTTTCATTAAAAGTTTATTTTTATTTTTATTAGAAAATAAAGAATCTGTTGTTTCTTGTTTTCTTTTGGGAGCTACTAATAAATTCTTGATATATCAGGGAAACTTAACCCTCTACCGCTGTTTGTAAATCTTGGGAGCTATACTACCAGAACTTTTAGATATTCTTTTAGATAATTTATGTAAAATATACTTTCAGCAATATTTGGCTCCCCCTCACAACTAAAGCATTATAATTTTGTTAAATTACTATTTCCCAAATCAATGAATTGGGAACAATGAAACCATACGATGGCCTCCCTGATCTCCGGATTTGTCCGTTCTCAATTTCTGTATTTAGGTATTTTTGAAATATGAAATATATCGTGGCAACTACAATAATGTCGAAGAGTTGGAAAATGCTATCAGGCAAATTTAGATAATTTGCAAACCCATTCCGTTATAATAAATCCCGTTATAAAAAAAGAAAAACATATTCAAACATTCAGTGGTAACGTCGGTGGTAACAGTTTAAAAGTAAAATATTTCAGTCCCAAATAAAATTTTAATATGTGTATGACTATTTTAGTAAATAACATTTTGATTTTTTTCTCATCTATCACGGGCTAGTAATAAGAAAATGATAAGAAATGTTGCAGTAAATAGTGAAAAATAAATATAGACTCTTATATATTTTTGAGAAGCTCATCAGAGCAAGACGGATCATATGATTTATAAATATATAGGGTGTTCCATTTGAAAAAAGATAATTTTAGTTCATATCGTCGGCTTTATGACGAAAAGGCGTATCTCGATTTTTGGCGATTTTGAGATATCAACGTCATGACATGCCGAATGGGTTATATTTTAACATAGCGAATTTACGCATCTCAATATTGTATCTTTTTCATTTTATATTAGTTTAAAATTTGCCCCATCTCAAATACTACAATTCTTCGTTATGACGAATGAATGTTGAAACAGGGCTCTTTGTTATATCAATTATTGTTATATCAATTGTTATACTACAAGAAAGATGGATTTGAGATAGGTCCTTTTGTTTTAAGTTATGAAAATGCATGCGAGAGAAAATCACACCATTCTACCTAATTATTTTCTGACAGTTGCTTGGGACAAAATAAAACTTCTATCATGGCAGCAGCTCTCTTTTACAGTGTGATTTTAGAGTCCATTTTTTTGCCAAAAACCATTGTTAGAATGAGCTAGACTCTGCACATAGCTGTATCGGGTATGCAAAAGATTGTCCGAGAATAAATGGCAGAATAAAAGGAAAATTTTGAGCGAAAGCAAAACAACGAAACGAAAATTGCCCTAATGGAAAATTTCCCGAAATCATAATTTCTCTAAGAACATTTTAGCGAACCAAAAACTTGCCCGAAAAATACAATAATTTTCTTCTCATTATCATTGTCAGGCCGTTGGCATTGTCATCCCTACCAATTTTTGGAAAATTTTATTTATTTTGCCTATCATCATCCAGCATAAACACGTAGAATGGAAGTCGAATTTGTTAACATTGAACAGGGAAAACAGAAACTGTTACTCCACAGTTATTTGTATAAAAAAAACAAATGAAGAAACATGTTTTGTTTTTGTTTAGATTGGTTTTTATTATATGAACCGTGAGTTTAAATGCCTTGTGTTAATGCCCTCAATTAAATAAAAATTACTAAAAATATATTAGTTACAAAAATGCATTTTTGTATAAAAAACAATATTATTAAAATAAGCTAATAAAAGAATTTTAATTGGTTATTGTCTTTGCTTCTGGCATGAAAATTGTCTTTGTTTTCAGTTGATCTAATCCAACGCGAATAAAAGTATTTAAAAATATTTGTTTCTGATTTTTTGGCGATTTTAAAATTTTTTCTTGTATGTATGTATTGTATTTTCTTGTAAGTATTTCATAATGTGAATATTGTATCATTTTTTTTTCTTATTAAGAACACTTTACCGTCATTTTTAAATTTATTTTACATGGGCATGGGGTATGTATACTATTCGTTCGGAAATAAATTTATTATTACTATAACAAAAAGGCCTATCTTTATTAAACAACTAAAAATAAATTATTTATTAGAATTTACGCTCAATTTTTTTGTTTAAGTGTTAATACAAAAACACTATTAAAAAATTAAAGACTTTACATTTATTGGACAAATAAAGTAAGTGATTTTCTTTAAATTGCTCTCCTTTTCGTCATAAAGCCGACGATATATTCAAAAATATTTTTTTCGTGGAAAAACATTCTACGTAAAAAGTTCTACAAGAATCAATTTTCTCCTTCTCGATACCTTTCACAATAACGGCGATACGGAGACTCTCCCAAATTGTCAAATTTTCTCTCGAAAAAGCCTCTGTAGTTCAGGAACGAAGAGGGTTATGAATGTTTTGTTTACAGTATCTTCCATTTGACAAAAAGTGGGATAGGTTTGTGCAAACCGCATACTCCTATCTTTACTAATAACGGAGATACCATATGATTTCAACTAAAATGGGACACACTGTACAGTATGTTTGCGCATTAATGTTATGTCAGACTCTCAGACAGAAAACTGAAAGTCTTTAATTGTAGTTAGCAAGATGCTGACTTTGCTTTAACTAATTTAGGGTGATAATCTTTGGGCACAACAAATACACACATGGCCAAAATTATTGCATAAATTATATTTTTATTTTATTTGGGACCTAATATGATTCTTTTTATATTTTTGAACATATTGGCTTACTACACGACTAACTAATATAAAAATTAAAAATCTAAGTGCAACTAGGCTGTTATTATAATTTTATTTCATAATGAGTGAAAATCAACAAAAACAAATTTCATTTTAAACAGTAAATATTGAAAACAATTTTAATTATTTCTCACAACTAATAGACTGTATTGCTTCCTCGAGCCTCAATGCAAGCTGTGAGACGACTTGGCATGCTCTCAATTAAGTTGTCCAGAAGATGTTGAGGAATGGCTTCCCATGTTTCGTGCGCAGCAATTTTCAATTCATTTAAGGTACGGGGGATCATTCCTTTTGGCAATATGGCGTTTTAGCATGTCCCAAGCATGCTCGATCACATTCATATCTGGAGACATTGGTGGCCACCAGAGTTTTCTTATACCCTCTTCCTCACAAAATTCGCGGACCGCTAAAGTGCGATGGGGAGGAGCATTATCGTCCATGTAAACAAATTCATCCCCCACTGCCCCTCGAAATGGACGCACAATAGGTTCTAAAACGTGTCTATATGAGGCACCTGTCATTGTGCCATCAATAAAAACAAGAGGAGTTCGAGCTCCGTGCATTATACCTGCCCATACCATAATGCTTCCCCCTTGAAACGGGACACGGGGTTTGGTTTGGTTATGACGTTTGGTTTGGTTGTGCCATCATTAAAAACAAGAGGAGTTCGAGCTCCGTGCATTATACCTGCCCATACCATAATGCTTCCCCCGTGAAACGGGACACGGGATTGAAATGCATTCAAGCGTGCTCGTCTTCCAGATGCTCTCCAGACCAAAGTTCGTCGCGAGTCTGACACTAAGCCTATT